CTCCAATTGAACTGCCGGACTCAGAACCCCAATCATGAAGAGAAGTGCAGATTCCATGATCTGCCATAAGTGCAAGTGCCAGAGCCGAGCCTCCTCAGCGGCTCAGATGGAGCAGTAGAGAGCATAACCAGGTGCACATGGAGGATACAGCAGTCCATCGGAACCTGCAGAGGACACCTGGCACCACAACAGAGGACAGAACAAATCAACCAACTATCCCAGCCATATGTTGGCAGTGAAAAACTGGGCAAACGGAGACTCCAAGATGCACTATGTCAAATCAGTGGATTCTTCAACGACCTCATTGTGCTTGGAATGGCGAGATTGGCAGCAATTCAGAACTGTTGAACTCTCAACACCACTTGAGCAAGACCCTCGGAGCATGCACCACATCGGGGACCTGGGGTGGGTGGGAGACTGGGTGGGGCTTCTCCCTGTATCTCCCCCTTTACCCCAGATACAGGAAAAAAACAATGTGGAAGGAAGGACCCGGCGGCGTGGCCTAGCGGCTAAAGTCCTCGCCTTGAACGCCCCGGGATCCCATATGGGCGCCAATTCTAATCCCAGCAGCTCCACTTCCCATCCAGCTCCCTGCTTGTGGCCTGGGAAAGCAGTGGAGGACGGCCCAAAGCCTTGGGACCCTGCACCCGCGTGGGAGACCTGGAAGAAGTTCCTGGATCCTGGCTTCGGATCAGTGTAGCACTGGCCGTTGCGCTCACTTGGGGAGTGAATCATCAGACAGAAGATCTTCCCTTCTGTCTCTCCTCATCTCTGTATATCTGACTGTCCAATAAATAACTAAATCTTTAAAAAAAAAAAAACAAAAAAAAACCAAAAAAACTGTGGAAATAATAATCTTACCCACTTTCCTGTAGCCCTTGAACCCTTGTGCCCTAATTAACTATGTAAAGATTGTCAAAAATTTTAAAAAGGATAAAGAAATAAAACAAAGCAGTGCAGAGCCGCTGCTGGGTCTTTGGTTGGGATGCTGCCTTCCACATGGGAGGGCCTGGGTTCAAGTCCCTGATCCACTTCAAGCTCGATCTGTCCTCTGGCACAGAGCCTGGAAAGCAGAATGCCAGATGAGTTTGTGACATGACTTAAGCGGGTGTTGCAACAGACATGTGGCGAGTGAACCTGCACAGTGGAGAGGTCTCTCTTGTTTCTCTGTCTTCAGAACGAATGAAATTGGAAAAAAAATAAATGGCGGCTGAGTGGGGCACTGTGGTGGCCCCGGCCAAGCCACTGCTCAGGCCTCGTGTGCCGCAGTGGAAGGCTGTCCAAGCTGCAGCACCGCTACCCTTGCTGACACACCGGGGAAGGTGGCCGATGACGGCATTAGAAGAGTGGGCCGGTGGATGGAAAATTCTCTCTCATTCTCTTTCAACTAAATAAATAATTTTTTAAAAGATTTAATTTTTATTGAAAAAGCAGATTTACAGAGAGGAGGCGGAGAGACAGAAAGATCTTCTGTCTGCTGGTTCACTGCCCCAGTGGCCACAATGGCCAGAGCTGAGCTGATCTGAAGCCAGGAGCCAGGAACTTCCTCCGGGTCTCCCACGCAGGTGCAGGGTCCCAAGGCTTTGGGCCGTCCTCGACTGCTTTCCCAGGCCACAGGCAGGGAGTTGGAAGGGAAGTGAAGCTGCCAGAACATGAGCCGACACCCATATGGGATCCTGGAATATGCAAGGTGAGGATTTAGTCACTAGGCTATTGTGCCAAGTCCTCTTTACAGATTATTTTATTTCATTTTAAAAATTTATTTTCTATTTTTAACATTATTTACATAAAGTCAGAATTAGAGAGAGAGAAGTAGAGTCAGAGAGAGAGAGAGAGAGCTTCCATCCACTGGTTCACTCCTCAAAAGGCCACAAAGGCCAGAGGTAAGCTGATCCGAAGCCAGGAGCCAGGAACTTCTTCCAGGTATCTCCCACACGGGTGCAGGGTCCCAAGGCTTTGGGCCGTCCTCCACTGCTTTCCCAGGCCACAAGCAGGGAGCTGGGTGGGAAGTGGGGCTGCTGGGATTAGAACCAGTGCCCATATGGCATCCCAGTGACACAAGTGGAATATTAACTTGCTACATCATGGCACCAGCCCCATTTTTCAATTTTTTAAAAATTGTGTTCATTTATTTGAAAATCATGAGCACGAGAAACAGATCCTCCATCCACTGCTTCATTCCCCAGTGGCTTCTCAGAGCTGAAGCTTGCCAGGATGAGAGCCAGGCAGCAGGAGCTTCTTTGACATCTCCCACATGGGTGCTCAGGCACCTGAGTCGTCTCCATTGTCTTCACAGGCACATTAGCAGGGAGCTTGATGGAAGTGGACCAGCCAGGGAGCCTGGCGTGGTAGCTTAGTGGCTAAATCCTCACCTTACATGCACTGGGATCCCATATGGGCGCCAGTTCTAATCCTGGCTGCTCCACTTCCCATCCAGCTCCCTGCCTGTGGCCTGAGAAAGCAGTAGATGACGGCCCAAAGCCTTGGGACCCTGCACCCACGTGGGAGACCTGGAAGATGCTCCTGGCTTCAGATTGGCTCAGCTCTGGCTGTTGTGGCAACTTGGGGAGTGAACCAGCAGATGGAAGATCTTTTTCTCTGTGTCTCCTTCTCTCTATATATCTGCCTTTCCAAACAAACAAACAAACAAATAAATCTTTAAAAGAAGAAGAAGTAGTAACACAACCAGGACACGAAGAACGCCTGTATGCTACAGCACTATGCTACAGCAGCAGCCCTTGCATTCGTTGGCTGAGGCGGTTCTCTCCTGGGTCCTCCCCAGAATTCCCTGGGCTGGATAACAGCAGACAGGCAAACCAGGGAGCAGAGAGGGCCACAACTCCTGCCACCTTGCTTGGGGGTATCTGCTCTTACGTGGCCACATTGGAGCTGAGCTGGCTTCCTCCATCTTTCTGTGAGCATACTCCCACACCATCCAGTGGGGTTCTCAGTGGAGGGAAAGAAGGCGTTCCAGGGCTGCCATGGGGCATAGCAGGTTGAACCACTGCATGCAGCACACATCCCTTCTCGGTGTCACTGGGGCTCCCCTCTCTTGGGGCCTGGGTGCTTGGGGCCCTGTCACTCTTGTGGTTGATCTGGCTGGAGTCCCTGGCCCTTGCTATTCTGGCCATATAGACAATGAACCAGAGGACGGAAGATCTATTTTTCTGTCTCTTTCTTCCTGTTTGCCACTCGGCCTTTTAAATAAATAAGTAGGTTGCTGGTGGTAGCCTCATGCCTTTGACTATTACTGCCACCATTCGTCTTTCCATCAGTCAGATGAGGCCAATTGAGAGGCGTCATCACGTGACAAGGAGATCTGTCCACTGGATTCCAAGCCCCAGGGCAGCACACAGGAAGCCCTGGGCTGGGACAAGAGCTGTGTGTGGTGGCTTTCCCTGGAGTGTTCTAGTAAGAAGCCCGCAGGGTGCAGCACGTTGCGTCCTTACCAGGCAGGAATGGGTGGCACAGGCACCCATGGCCAGGCGGTGCACATCTTGGTATCTTTTTAAAAAAATTTATTTACTTTTATTGGAAACACAGATTTACAGAGAGAAGGACATACAGAGAGATCTTCCATGTGCTGGTTCACTCCCCAAGTGGCTGCAACAGCCAGGGCTAAGCAGGTACGATGCCAGGAGCCAGGAACCTCCTCCAAGTCTCCCACGCGGGTGCAGGGTCCCAAGGCTTTGGGCTGTCCTCCACTGCTTTCCCAGGCCACAGGCAGGGAGCTGGATGGGAAGTGGAGCAGCCAGGACACGAACTGGTGCCCATATGGATCCTGGCACGTGCAAGGTGAGGACTTCAGCTACTATGCTACCCGCATCTCCGTATCTTTGGCAGGCACCCACCCCAGCATCCTGTGTACCCCATAAGGACTGGGTGTGGGGAAGGCACCGAGCTGTCTCCAGGTTCTCTTCGTAGGAGGAGGAGGCCTTGGCAGCTGCAGGCCTCCGGGATGGTGGGAAGCCACTTGGGTCTCCAACGCTGCAGATGAACAAAGAGCAAGTAAGACAGGAGCCCCGCCCAGAGCAGTGGGCCACGGCTCACTGGCTGGGGCTGGGCTACACAGAAAGCCACCCGGCTGCAGGGGCTGCAGGGGCTGGACAGGGTCAAAGCGAGGGAGAGCGAGGGGGAAGGGCAGGAGCAAGTACAAGGAGCACAGGGCCCAGGCACCCCAGCAGAAAGCACGCGTGCGTGTGCATGCGCGTGCAGGAGTGCGTGTGTGTATGTGTGTGGGGGAGGAGAAGGCCAGCGCCTGGAGGGCAGGCCTCTTCCCGGGGCAGGTGCGGCCAGGGCGGGGCGCAGGAAGAGGGTGGGGGTGTCCACGGTTTCCACAGGCCCCTGGAAAGGAAGCTGGATCTCATAGGGGCACTTAAAACCCTGTGTGGCCCCCACTACACCACCTCACTTCCTGGCCCTTATCACTGCTGGGCCCTCTTTGAGGGCAAGTAGGAGGAGGGGAAAGAGGAGCCGGTGCAGGCCTGAGTTCTGCGTGGTGGAACTCCCTGTTTCCGTGTGTTCCAGTAAGGTGGGCTGCTTGGCGTGGGGGTGGGCAGCTGGGCCTGAGCCTGGACCACAGGCTCTGGGGCCAGGAAGGGGTGTGGAGGAGGGCGGCTGGTGGAGAAGGGCGGGGGAGGAAGTCCTGGGCAGCGCGCACCGGGAGGCTGGCTCGGGGCGGGGCGGTGATGGAGAGCAGAGTCGGCCAGCAGCCACCTTCACACCTCTGCTCAGCTGCCAAGGAGCCCCCAAGAGCAGCCAGGTAAGGGACTCCTGAGGGGCTCCAGGGGCGGCCGGCCGGCCCCTCCGCCACGCCATGCTGTGCCATTTCTTGGCTTTTGTTGGGGCAGGGGGAAGGGTGTAGGAAGCTGGGAAGCCCTGCTTTCTGACCGCCTGTTCCTCTGCCTGTGAGAGAGCCCCCGTGCAGGCACCCACGCCAGGCAAGCACTACCCCAGCTTCGCTCTCGGCTGTGGCGCAGAGCCCCCAGGACGGACGGCTGGCCCCTTGCCCACAGTGTGGGCCAAGTTGGGCCTGTCTCTGGCCGCTGACACCTGCCTCAGCAGCACCATGGTCATGGCGTCTATCACTTCAGGTAAAATTCCAGCTGCCGGCTGCGGGGCTCTGAGGGAGCAGGGGTGCCTCCCCAGGCTGGCGGGCAGGATCCCCACTCCCCGGCTGGCCACAGGCTTGCTTTGTTAGGGCGGGCAAGCAGGAGGCACTGGGCAGGCACCCACTGGGAGCCGTGTCCCCGTGCACAGCCCCTGCCTAAGACGCCATCCCCTTTCCCACCCAGCCTTGCCAGGACCACTCTCTCTACCCAGTCCACCCAGCAACAGCAGCCAAAAGGAGCCGCTGGGCCCCCGCAACCCGGTGCTGGTTCGCGCAGAACTGGCCCTGCTCTCCACCGTCTTCGTGGCCGTGGCCCTGAGCAATGGCCTAGTGCTGGGGGCCCTCGCCCGGCGAGGCCGGCGTGGCCGTTGGGCACCCATGCACGTCTTCATCGGCCACTTGTGCCTGGCCGACCTGGCCGTGGCGCTGTTCCAAGTGTTGCCACAGCTGGCCTGGGACGCTACCGACCGCTTCTATGGGCCGGATGCCTTATGTCGGGCGGTCAAGTACCTGCAGATGGTAGGCATGTACGCTTCCTCCTACATGATCCTGGCCATGACGCTTGACCGCCATCGGGCCATCTGCCGCCCCATGCTGGCGTATCGCCATGGAGGTGGGGCTCACTGGAACCGGCCCGTGCTGCTGGCTTGGGCTTTCTCGCTCCTTCTCAGCCTGCCCCAGCTCTTCATCTTCGCCCAGCGAGACGTGGGTGATGGCAGTGGGGTCTTCGACTGTTGGGCCCAGTTCGTGGAGCCCTGGGGCCTGCGTGCTTATGTCACCTGGATCGCCTTGATGGTGTTTGTGGCACCTGCCCTGGGTATCGCTGCCTGCCAGGTGCTCATCTTTCGGGAGATTCATGCCAGCCTGGTACCAAGATCATCGGAGAGGGCTGGGGGGCGGCGTGTAGGGTGCCGCACAGGTGACCCCCACGAGGGAGCCCGTGTGTCGGCAGCCATGGCCAAGACTGTGCGGATGACGCTCGTGATCGTCGTGGTCTACGTGCTGTGCTGGGCACCTTTCTTCCTGGTGCAGCTGTGGTCAGTGTGGGACACCGAGGCGCCTCGGGAAGGTGGGTGTGGCTCTGCCTGGGGCCAAGGGGGGAATACTCAGGCTTGGCGGCCACATGCCTCTGCCCTCCATGCCACCCGCGGCTGGAGGCTCCCATGCGGGCACTCGGGGCAAGCTCCTGCACAGCTTCGGAGGCCGCAGCCTGACTCCTCCCCACCGCAGGGCCCCCGTTCGTGCTGCTTATGCTGCTGGCCAGCCTCAACAGCTGCACCAACCCCTGGATCTACGCCTCCTTCAGCAGCAGTGTGTCCTCGGAGCTACGCAACTGGCTCTGCTGTGCTCGGAGGCGGGCTTCTCCCAGCCTGGGGCCCCAAGACGAGTCCTGTGCCACGGCCAGCTCCTCACTGGCCAAGGACACTGCTTCCTGAGAGCTCTGCGGCCTGCCCGGGCCAGCCCTTGAGAGCCACCAGCAGAGAAGGGCCTGCACTGATGGCCAGAGGCTGGGAGCCCGTCACTGCCATCTTGGGCAGTTCCTGTCACACAGGAGGCCTTCAGGCTCCGAGACTGCAGCTCCTTTGTGCCAGGCAGGAAGCCAGACTGGCTGCCTGCGCTCCCCGGGACTCTGGGTGTTTGGGGAGGGCGGCCAGGGCCCTTCGCATCCCAGGCTTGCTCACCCCTCCTTTGTCACACCCCACCCTCCAAATAAAACTTACAGCTCATTTTCTACACATCGTGGGTTACTGTGGAGGGTTCTCCTGGGACAAGGGAGCCAGCACGGGTGCAGTCACTGCATATATGCGCGTGCACGCACACACACACACACACACACAGAGCGCACTTTACGCCACAGACATATGCCCCAATTTGGTAAAAGGCGAAAGATTTCCACGATCTGAAGAGAAACGAGAGTATATATGCCCAGATTTGGAACCCAGAAGGCTGGCAGACAAGCCTTTAAAGCCATAGGATTTGGGGGCCAGCATGGTGGTACACCAGGTTAATCCTCCACCTGCAGCACTGGCATCCCACAGGAGCGCTGGTTCTAGTCCCGGCAGCTCCACTTCCCACCCAGCTCCCTGCTTGTGGCCTGGGAAAGCAGTTGAGGACGGCCCAAAGCCTTGGGGCCCTGCACCCGTGTGGGAGACCCGGAAGAGCTCCTGGCTTCGGACTGGGCCAGACCTGGCCGTTGCAGCGACTTTGGGGAATAAACCAGCAGATAGAAGGTTTTTTCTCTCTCTGAGTTTCAAAGTAAATAAATAATTTTTTTAAGGCACAGGTTGCAAGCAATATAACCTATGGGTAGGCAGCTGCAGGGTGCTATGGATCTAAACTGTTAGCAGACTGTGGGCATGCCAGGGGCACCCCCCACAGGACAGAGCTAGCTCACATCAGGCAATGAGCACACAGGTCTTTATGAGTTATCACCAATGCCCACCCAGCCACCCACACCAGAGGCCACCGCTGAGCGAAGCCACAGAGGGGCGGACCCCAGCTTCCTTGCTTGGCTACCTCCTGGAGGAGCTTAAGCTAGGACTGAGGGCAACCATGGGGCCGGGGGCAGTGGGCAGCCTTGCCAACAGCTCTCAGGGAAACAGGGCAGAGGCTGGCCAAGAGCTAGCCATGACAGCTCAGTGTGGCTTCAAGGTGGAGTCCAGGCCCTGCAGCTGGGCCTCCGCTGGACCACGGGAGAAGCCTCAGCTTTGGCTTCGGCGGCCACAGGCTGCAGACTGCGGGCTGCGGGTGCCAGAGCCAGAAGAGGCGGCAGACGTCTTTCCTAGCAACTCTTGAAACACGGACTCCATGCGCTGCGCCACAGCCTGTGAAGAGGAGAGACGGAGGGTGCTGTTCCCCAGCTCCTGCTGGCTTTCCCTCCTTCAGGGCCAGCAGTTGCTCTGCGTAGTTCCGCTCCCAAGGCCCCCTCCACCTGGGACTGCCCCCGCCCTCCCCACTTGTCTACCCCGACTCTCTCCCTGGCTGAGACTTCAGCCCGTAACTGCAGGAGCCCATAGTGCACTATGGACCCCAGGGGCGTGGAGCGGGGATGGTAAGGAGGAGGCTTCAGGCTGCCCCAGCCCCCCAGCACAATCCACATAACTTCCCAGCCTTCCTGCCTCCTACCTCCCTGCCATCTGGCCCTCTGCTTCCTCCCTGGTGTGCCAAGCACCTGGCACATCACTGCCTGTCACCTAGTTTGGCTCTAAATACCAGCCTTGAATTCTGCCCAGAGCTTTTCACGCACAGGCACCCCAGCAGGCTGCTCCACAAGCCGTAGACTTGCAGCTAGGCCAAGGGCTCACCTGCCATACAACCCTGCCCTGTGCTCCGGCCTTCCTTCTGGCCAGCCCAGCCCAGCCTTCTGCCCCTCAGAGCTCTGCCTCCGATCTGCTCAGCACCTGCCTCCTACCTTGTCCACCTCCACGGGTCGCTCGGGGGGTGCGGGAAGCAAAGGGCCCCTGCGCCCAGTGGGGCCTGCAGTCTCCGCCGGGGTGCACGGTTCAGGCCTGCAGGGCACAGTTAGCAAGTCCCTGGCTGCATTGGAGAAGTGGTGCTTCCCTCTGGCCTCCCACTGTCCAGCCCTTGCCGACCGGCCGGGCCCTCACACCTGCCACACGGTGCACGGCTCACTCACCCAGCAGGCAACGAGATGTACTTGTGGGGAATGAGCCCCCGCACACCACCGAGCTCTCCCCGCCACCAGTCACTAGAGGCCCGCGTGTACAGCCGCAGCACATCCCCACGCTGGAAGGTCAGCTCCTGTGCTGTGCGGCCCGTGTACGCGAAGCAAGCCACAGCCTCCATGCCGGCCTCCAGGTCCGAGGGGGACACTGCGGAGGCCCCTGGGGCAGGCATGGAGGGGAGCCCCTCGCTGTCTTCTGGCTCCAGCTCCCCTGGCAGGCTCTCCAGCTGCATGCCCCTGGGGCGGTGGAGGGGGGTGGGGTGGGGAGGCAGAGGGAGGCGAGTGAGGAGGCCAGGGGGTGCTCCCCTCCACCACTGCCCTCTCCCCCAGGCAGGGCCGAGGCTGTACCCCAGGCAGCTGGCAGCTGGTGGTGCCATACACTTCTCGTACACGGGACCTGGCAGCACGGTGGCGGGTGGGAACACCCTGGCTGGCTGCATGATGAGTGTCTGCACCAGCTGGTTCAGGCGGCCTTGCACGGCCACGGGGTCCTGCCCCGTCGGCACAGGCAGCAGCGTGGGCCCGAAGCATACAGCCAGGTTGTAGGGGTCCATCATGTTCTCGTCACTGTACTGGGCCAGGCTGGGGAGGGGTACACGGGTCATGGCGGCTCACTTCCCCCTGCGCCCGCCCTGCCCGGCCCCTAGAACACTCACTGGTTGAGGAAGGTGAAAAGGTAACGCAGCACCACCAGCACCGAGCCAGGCAGCTTGGCCAGCAGCTGGCTCACAGATTCCACCCGTTCGGCCACCGACTCCAGCTCTATGGGGCAGCCCAGGAGAGCACGTGAGCAGGAGAGCGGACTCTGGCCAGCAGCACCCCGCCCTGCCAGCCCCAAGCCTGGTCTCACCCGCCGAAGCCAGAAGCTCCTGAAACAGGTCCAGAGGGAAGAGTGGGGGATCCAGGCTCCGGAAGTAGAGCTTCAGCACCCCAGCCACGGAGTCCAGGTCGTGGGCTGTGCAGCCTTCCACCAGTGGGTCCTCCCCTGCTGGTGCAACTCACAGATAAGGAGGCTGAGCACACCTGCCCCCCCACCCCTTACCACCATCCCACCTGCCTATCCCCACCTCTCTCGAAGGCATCGCGGATCTCTGAGACCCGAGGCTGGGCACCTGACACCCGGAAGATGCCCTCATGCTGCAGGCCTGCAGGGCGGGAAAGGAATTGGTGAGTGCCATGGGGTCCCACCCCTGTGCCAGGTACCAGCCCCGAGAGACAGAGGGACCGAGCCACTTACCATTGAGATTAATGAAGCGGATACAGCTCTCCACCACCAGGGGCACAAGCTGGCCTGAGCTCTGGGAACAGAGAGGGCTTTTACTGCGCTGCCAGCAGAGCGCTCCCAGGCTAGCACTCGCGTGCTTTTCAGTCTGTGCTGTGGCACAGCACTGGGCACACAAGCCCAGCGCGCAGTGTGCTCCAGGGTCTCTAGTCTCTGCCACTCCCGATGCTAGTTTAGAGAGTGCTTTACGTTATGTTGGCAGAGTGTTTATTGCTGTGATACAAAAATGCATAAAATGTTGTACATTAATCTTGAATCAAGTGACAATGCAGTAACAGGTTAAAGCCACTGCTACAGCTCCAGCATCCCACTTTGGCACTGGTTCAAGTCCTGGCTGCTCTACTTCCCATCCAGCTCCCTGCTAACGTGCCTCTGAAAGCAGCGGACGACTACCTGGGTGATTGGACCCCTGCCCCGATGGGGGAGCCCCAGAAGAAGCTCCTGGCTTTGGATGACCCAGCGTGCCCATTGCAGCCACTTGTTGTTGGTTACAGCTGCCCCCTCCCATCAGTATTGCAAAGGGGAGCCCAGCAGAAGCTCACAAAGGCCTGGGGAGGGAGGGCCCAGAGGCTCCCACTCTAGGAGGCTCGGGGACACAGTGGCTGGAGAAGCACTAGCAGGTGCAGTGTGGGCAGCGCCTGCAGCAGCAGGTGCAGGTCAGTTCAAGGCCAGGTGAGACCAAGTACCTGGATAAATGTCTCCATGTCTCCTCCGAAGAGTCTCTGGTTATACTGCGAAGTGGGGCGGGGCTGGCGGCTCTTCTGGAACCTTCTCTGCATGTGTTGGGTTCTGATGTGGACAGGAGATGAATGAGGGGGATGGACATAGAGAAGAGAATGCGCCACCTCACAGCGCAGTCACTCAGAACCCTGGGCCTCCCCAGAGCTTCCCAGAGGCCAGGCAGGAAGGACTCACCGAGACAGCGCCTGCTCTGCCTTGTCACCTGGGGAGAAAGGATATTGGGCACCCACAGAGAGAGGCACAGCTCGAAGGCTGAGGGGCAGAGCAGGGCCCTTGCTGGGTGGGGAGGGCCCTGGAGGATGGAGGCATACCTCGCTGGATGGCCTCCTGCAGCTTCTCGTGCTTGGCCTGCAACTTGGCAAGGACACTCCGTCCGCTCAGGTACTCCTGCAGTTTCTAGAAGCCCCGAGAAGCACTGCCAGTGTTGGCCCCGCCCAGGACCTCTGCTCAGCACCCCTCCCCCGGCCCAGGGCCAGTGCCTTCTCCCCCACCGTGGTGTAGAAGGTCTCTGTCTCCTGCTGCTGGCCCCGCCTCCGGCCCAGCTGCCGACTGCCCGGGTCTGAACTACTGGACTTGAGGGACTCGCTGGAGGGGCTGGCCTGGAAAGAATCCAGTGTGTCTCCATCCTCAGATGCCACCACCTCCAGTAGGGCCTGCAGGGTCGCCTTCAACGTCTTGTTCACCTGCAGAGGAGGCAGCAGGGCAGTGGCGGGAAGGGGCTGGGCAGAGCCCGAGCAGCAGGCCGCAGGTCCGCAGGTCCCCGTGAGTGAGCATACCTCCTCGGTCTCAATGCTCTGTCGGTCCAGGCGGCTTCGGATGTTCTGGGCTCGGGGCAGAAGTTCATCCCTCAGCTCCATGTCTACTTGGATCTCAGCCTCCTACAGGGAGCAGTGGGCAGGGCTGCCGGCCAAGTCTGAGCAGAAACACCCCACACAGCCCCACCTGACGGATGGAGAAGCAGTGTGGCATCTCCAGGCAACGGGATCATACTCAGCCTTACAACACGATGGGGCAGGCGTGTGGCGTCATAGCAGGTGGGCTGTGCACTCATAGCCAAGTGAAGTTTGAACCCTAGCCCCACTTCCTCTCCATGCTAACCCTAGGAGCAGCAAGTGCCCGAGTCCCTGCCAGCAACCCGAAGGAATTCTGGGCTCCTTGCCTCTGACCCGACTCAACCCTGGCTCTTGTCCAACATCTCTAGTGTTCTTTCTCTCTCCACCTGAAGTTCATTAAATATATATATATATTCAAACATATATATATATGTTTGAAAACCCAAATTACAAAGAGAGGCAGACACATAGACACAGACACACACACAGAGACCTTCCATTTTCTACCCGCTGGGTCACTCTCCGGATGGCCGCAGCCACTGGGCAGGGCCAGGCCCGGCTGAAGCTGCATCTGAGCTCCCATGTGGGTGCAAGGCCTAAGCACGTCAGCCATCTCCCACTGCTTTCTCAGCCATGAATAAGGAGCTAGAGCACAAGTAGAACGGCCAGGACCATGGCAGCAGTTTTATCCGTTACACCACAGCACCGGCCCCTGAAATCATTTTTTTTCATTTTTGAAAGGGCGAGCTTGTGGCACAGTGGTTTAAGTTACTAGTTAGGAGCCCGTGGTCCATGTCAGAGCACCAGTGCCAGGCCTGGATCTTCCCCTTTTGATCCAGCTTCCTGCTAACACAGCCGGGAAAAGCAGCAGGTACCCAGATGGAGTCACAGGCTCCTGGCTCCAGCCTGGCTCAGCTCTAGCCATTGGAGCTCTTTGGGGAGAAGGCGACCCAGTGCAGCAGTGCCAGGGCCGCACATCCTGGAGTCCCCATGGCAGAGCTGACTGGGCAGCTCTGTGAACACACTGGAGTCATGGAGTACGCCCTCTCACTGCCGTGTTGTGTGGCATGTGAGTCTAGTTGCAGTAAAGTTGCTTCTTTCAAACAAATGGTGGTGAGGAGGGCTAGGCCCTACTGCCGCCCAGGGCCAGGGGAGGGGGAAAGCCGGACCCGCAGCATGGAAGCCACTGCTTGGCTGAGAGTCACGCTGGGAGGCCACGTTTTGGTTCTTGTTTTTAACAGAATAGAACTTCCAGGTTTCTAGTTTCTAAGAAAATATTTATTCATTCATTTGAAGCCGCAGAGTGATGAGCGAGAGAAAACTGTCCCATCTGTTGGTTCACACCCAAATGGCCACAACGGCCAGGGCTGGGCCAGACCAAAGCCAGCAGCCAGGAACTCTTGGGTCTCCTATGTGCCTGAGCCACCCTCTGTTTTCCCGGGTATGTTAGCAGGGAGCTGGAATAGAATCTGGACTCCAAGCTGCATTCTGATATGGGATGCTGTTATTCCAAAGTAGAGAACCAACCCACTACACGATGACACAGCACCCTGAAGAGTCCCCCTTGCATTGTAGGGTTAATTTAAAATTAAGACTGCAGGATGGGCCCGGCGGCGTGGCCTAGTGGCTAAAGTCCTCGCCTTGAACGCACCAGTTCTAATCCCGGCAGCTCCACTTCCCATCCAGCTCCGTTTGTGGCTTGGGAAAGTAGTCGAGGACAACCCAAAGCCTTGGGACTCTGCACCCATGTGGGAGACCTGAAAGAAGTTCCAGGATGCTGGCTTCAAATCGGCATAGCATCGGCTGTTGCGCTCACTTGGGGAGTGAATCATCGGACAGAAGATCTTCTTCTCTGTCTCTCCTCCTCTCTGTATATCTGACTGTCCAATAAATAAATAAATCTTTTAAAAAAAAAAGACTGTAGGGCGTGGTGTAGTACAGTCCTCACCTTGCATGCACCAGGATCCCTTATGGGCACTGGTTCTAATGCCAGCAGGCCCCTTCCCATCCAGCTCCCTGCCTGTGGCCTGGGAAAGCAGTTGAGGACGGCCCAAAGCCTTGGTACTCTACACCCATGTGGGAGACCCAGAGGAAGCTCCTGGCTCCTGGCTCTAGATCATTGTTGCGGCCACTTGGGGACTGAGCCAGTGGGATGGAAAGTTATTCTGTCTCTCCTCTCTGTAAATGTGAGTTTCTAATAAAAATAAACAACTCTTAGAAGAAAAAAAAAAAAAGACTGCAGGGGCAAGCCTGGTTGGACACTAGGTTAGCATCTCATATCACAGAGCCGGCAGCTTCACTTCCACTTTGGCCCCTGCTACTGTGCCTGTGAAGCCCCGGGAGTTGTGCACTTGCGCCTAGCCCAGGCCTTGCAGCATTTACGAAGGGAATCGCAGGGGGAAGACATCTCTTTCTGTCCCTTGTTCTCTGTAGCTCTGCCTTTCAAATAAATATTTAAAATGAAGCATAGCAAGCAAGGGCTGGGTGATCTGCAGGTGGCTCAGCACTCGTGTTGCCAAGACAGCTGGGGAGAGCAGACAGGCAGGGCAGAAGCAACAGCTTGAGAGCACCTACAGGCAGCATGTGCAGGGGTGGCGCTCAGAGACACGCAGCAACATGGGGGCAGAGAGGAGGGCAGGGGCTACCAGTCAGTGCTGAGTGCGCCCTGCAGGCCCCTGACCTCAGGCAGCACAAACCAGGGACTGTGGCCTCAGGGACGCTAGCCAGAGTTGAAGAAGGGGGCTACAATGCCAGTCCCAGGCCTGGCAAGAGCCTCAGGCAAGGGCACAAACACAGAATCTCTCACTGTGCTGGCACCTCCCTAGGTCATGCCCCAGACTCAGTGTGACAGCACTCCTCGGATCGACAGGCAGGAACGCAGCAGTTACAGGTGCTCCTGCGGAGTCAGGACAGCTTCGGGCCTTGGCCCCAGCCTCCCACAGAGGGTCACAAGAGCTCCCGCCGGGGGCAAGTAGTTGCACCAAAGAGATGGAGCCACAGACCCCAGCAAATGGGGGACAGCCTGCGCCACAAGCGCAAAAGACTCTTCAAGCCAGAGTCTCCTAAAAATGTTCCAACAGGCCTCTGCTGTGGTGTGGCACACTAAGCCTCTGCCTGTGGTGCCAGTATCCCATATTGGTGCTGGTTTGTGTCCTAGCTGCTCCTGCTCCAGTTCTTTTCTTTTTCCTTCAGTTCTAATTCAGTTCCCTGCTTGTGGCCTGGGAAAGCAGAGGAGAGGACAGTCCTAAGCCTTGACCCGGAAGAGGCTCCGGGCTTCGGATCAGCTCAGCTCCAGTCACTGTGGCCATTTGGACAGTAAACCAACAAAGAGAATTTTTCTTTCCACTTTCTCTCTTAACTTTCCTTTTGAAATAAATAAAATAAATCTTTTATGAAAATTTTACAAGGGACAAAAGCTCCAAGGAAAAATATGTTGTCTGCAACATCCTACAAAGGAACATTTCAACCCTGAATTCTATGCATGGCCATAAAGTTGCAATGAAGAGCAGGAAGGGCATGCAGACGCACTAAGAGCCAAGACTGCTGGGGCAGGCGCCCTCCAGCAGCAGGGGACAAATCAGGAATGAGGGGGCCCATGAGGTGGGGGCACTCCCAGGAAGAGAACTGAGAAGCACCAGCCTGAGGATGCCCATGGTGTCGCATAGGGCTCTTGGGACCGTGAGGCCCCTCTGCAGTCACAACTTAGAGGGAATCAACGTAAGCTGGAAGTCAGCCACCAGGAACTGCAGCCCACCAGTGCAGCCCAGAAGCCGGGAGGAGAGCGGCTCCCAGGCTGGGCTGAAGGAGTTGTGGCAGTCCTCTCCTCCCCAATTTGCAACATGTCAATTTTCCCAAGATGCAGGAGGGCGGTGCGTGGCCAGCTGCGTGGCCTCCACAGGGAGCACCTGTGCTGCCTTGGCCATCCTTAAGCACAGGTACACTGCCACACTCACCAGCCCCATGAAGCCCTCTGCCACGTGTCTCACCTCATCCCCCTCATGCGGCTGGTAGTCAAAACGCAGTGGGGGGCAGAAGGCACTTGCATGCACCTCAAGCACCTTGGCCTTGTCCCCAGGAGGGTCCAGAGCCTCCACAGCCTCTTCCAGGCTGCCCAGGCCCTGCATCTGGGAGGCCTGGGTGCGGCTCTCAGCGGCCATGTAGCTCCGCAGCGCCTGCCCCAAGGCCAAGTGGAAGCCTGTGTCACAGCACTGCAGAGAGACAAGGAGACCCTTGAGTGTGCACACCGCACACCAGAAGCCCCGGGCTCCCTGGAGGCCACTGCGCAGCCAGGCCGACTCACGTCAATGAGGTCCGGGACGTCCCGCAGGTAGTAGTTGCTGACTGCGGCATTGACGCTCGCCAGGCTCAACAGGTACTCATTGCGCGCCTTGGTGCACTTGAGTTTGTGCTCCAGGAACCTGGCCTGACGCTGCTCAGGCGGATGAAGGGAAGGGCGCTGGGGTCACATGCTCAGCCTCTCCCTGTCTCCTGTGCCTGCCCTCTTGCCTGGCTCCCAGCACCCACTGCGACTTCTCCCAGGACAGCAGGTTCAGGGGTGTGGAACTACAGACCTGATCAATCAATCAATCCATGAAAAGTGGGGGACCTAGGGGATGCCCAGAAGCAGATCAAGAGCCCGTAGGGGAGGGGGTTACACACAGGAAAAGGCAGGGTCTGGGGAGAAGGGACCACAAAGGTCATCTTGGGGGGGACAGTGGCAACAAGAATGACAGCCTCACGCCAAGCCTCGCCCTTCCCGAGTCCCCACCAGCCACCTCCACAGCTAAAACCTAAGCAGCAGCGTGGACCCTGACCCTACGGCTGCACCTTTTCCAGCAGCCGGCTGCCTTTCTTGACAGAGCTCTTGCGGAGGGGCCCAGTCTCCACACCACCAGGGGCAGCTAACGGGGTGACCGGGCCAGTCCGGCCTGTGCGCTTCTCTTCTTGGCGCTCAGCTTCTCGCAGCTTCGCCTCGGCATTCGTACTCTCCACACGGTACACCTGGTAAGTCTTCTTGGCCTGTAGGGAGGCCAGGCTAGGCAGTTCCACGGTAGGCCATGGCCACGGCCAGCCCTGCCCCGCTGCCCTCCTTGCGGACCACATGGGGCTGCCATGTGACAACTGCACGATCCATGGGGACATACTGCTGGGACACAGAGGAAGCCCCCCCGCCTGTGGTCTGCTCCTCTCCCATGGTCTCCCCTAGAGCTCACCGCCTGCAGCTCTGACACCACCTCCAGAAGCTCCTCTTGCAGCTGCTGCACCAGGTCCTTACTCTGGAGGTCGAGCAGACAGTAAGCACCCCGGCTGCTGCTCAGCTCCTCCCAGCTCCCATCCTGCCACCGCAGGCCACCTGGACTACAGCCTCACCTTCTTGACAATGCGCCCCACGTCCTCGGCGATGTGATTGAGGCGCTGGGTCAAGGAGCCAGCCAGCGCCTCACCGAAGGCCGCACTCTCCCGGCTCTGCTGGCGTGTATGCTGCAGCAGCACGGCCCAGCAATGCAAGGGCGACAGGAGCAAAGGCTCCTTGCTGTGGGTGCAAGGGGACACTCAGGCCACGCCACAGGACTACCTTCCACCTTCCAGACAGACACTGCTACCTACCGGAAGCTTTGGTGCTCCCGGCCACTGCCCCCGAGGCGGCCTCCACGGCTGGAGAAGCGCTCTGCCAGCTTCTCCAGGCCCCGGGAGTACTCCAGCTCCACCTCGGCACGGCGGCGTGTGAACTCGGCCAACTCCTGCAGCAGCTCCCGCCGAAGCTCTCCCTGCAGCTCCAGGCAGCGCAGCTGCTCATTCAGCTGTCCACGCATCTCTGCAGAGGACAATGGGCTCAGGCCAGGCCGGACATGAGCACAGACCACCAGGCCGGAGCCCAGGCTAAGGGTCGTGTTAAGGCAGGAGGCAGGAGCTGTGGGTCATGGGAAGGGCCCTGGGGGAGCCTTCCATGCACCCACAGTCAGGTGGAAGTGAAGGACAATGATCAGAGCCAAGTGGTTGAGCAGAAATGGGCAAGGTGTTGCAGCGAGCGCAGAGGCCCACCTTGCCCATGGCTTTCTCTGCCCTCCCGGGCTCTGGAAAGCTTCCCCTGCCACTTCCTTCCTGCTCCCTGAGTTGCTCAGCAAGCAAGGCTGCGTGAACTCCTAACCTCAGAGCAGGGAGAGCTGCCCACAAGCTGCAGGGAAAGGCAGCCACGCAGTGTCGCAGTGGAGAACTGCTGGCCCACATCTTCTGTCCCCTCCTTGGGCAGAGTCGCATCCCGGATACCAAACACCCAGGGCCCTTTTGACACCTTACTATTGGCTAGATTTGTGTTGACTCTGCATCCGGGGCATGCCCTCTCTTGCACAGCTAGGCTCAAAATGTGGGGTAGGAGGGGCAGCACGTTCGAGAGCAGTGGTAGCTAACGAGACACCCAACAGGCAAGGGCAGGCAGAGGTTTCCGGATGGCGATCGAGAAGTGGTGGTGCTGCAGGTGCGGGGCCCGGCAGGCCTCCTATGTGCGCTGCAGGTGGCAGGCCCCACGCAGGACATGGGAAGGCTGTGCCAAAGGCATTTCAGTGCTGCTGGCAGATTCCCAGGGGGGGCGAGCCTACTCCCACGTTGGCGCAGGACGAAGCTCTCTCCTGGAGTCCAGGCATCGTTCCCCACCCCCAGCGCAGGGGCTCGGCGAGGGCCCCAGGGACTTTTAACCGGAATTCCTGAGCCGGAATGATTCCTTTCCAGCGCCAGCAAGCCTGCGTTCAGGCTAGATAAAGGCGAGCCTCGGCTGGCAACGCCCCCCTCTGGTGAAACGCATCCAGGGCAGGGCAGAACCCGGGACAACAGGCGCTGGAAGGAGGGGGTGGGGTTGGGGGCCCACCGTAAGTCAGAGCAACATTTGGGGGACAAAAGCAACTTTCAACTCCCACCAGCCTGCCCCTGCGCTGCTGACACACGCATGTTCTGAGCACAGACACGTACTGCAGGTGAAGGGAGCAGCAGAGGTGCCGTGCTCGCTACCCAGGGGATCCCCGCTCTGGTCTCAGCACATGAAGGCAGGCTGGCTGGCGTAGAACCACAAGCACAGGAGGATATCAGAGCCATTGTGCAGTGGCCGAGCGCCGTGACTCTCCCAGCGCAGCCCGGGCCGCAGCAGGGGTGCACTGCACATGTGGCCCAGGGAAGGAGGGAAGGCCCCACAGACTGGAGTCACAACACTGGCCCAAGGCCCCAGCACCACTTCCTGTGAGCGGGCCACTTGCTCTCACTTCTGCCTCCCAAACTGTGAGGTGCTGACCTTTCAGATTTCGGAGAGCTGAGGTAGTGACCCTGCTAGTGTGCTGGGGTGGGGGTGGGGGGATGCAATCGAGATTCCAAACAGTGGAGGCCCTGACCGAGGAGGAGCAGGTTTGCAAGCCATCCTTGTGACCCAGCAGCCATACACTGCTGAGGAAAGAATTCTGCAGTCTTTCAGGCTGCTGGGCTGTGGAGGAGGACGCTGGCATCTAAGACACGCCGGCGCTGGGACCAGCTCCCCACAAGTCACCCCAAGCTAGCTAGCGCTGCACAGGAGGGCTGCACCAGAAGCTGCTTCGCACGCTCATTTTATCCTGCCTCCTAGGCAAGCTACCACAGGTCCCTGGGCCTGTGAACATCATCTATAAAATGCATCAGACAGTGACGAAGGGCACAGGTGGCTGAAGGCTCTAGCACCTTACATGCTGCTGATTTTCCGTTGCAAAGCTGGTCTGCCCTTGAACCCGACCACCAGAAGCTTGGCAGAGCTGATTTGCATGCGATTTGCACAGAGGTGTTTACCAACCGCCCTGTTGAATCTCTTAAGCCAAGACACAGCCGCCATCCCTCTTTGCCGGGGGTGCAGGGAGGTGATGACGGCGCTGCTCGTGAGCGCGGCAGCCCACTCGCTTTCACTCCTTTAGTATCTTCCCCACCCCCCCAGAAAAGTCAAAGCATCCCACGCCGCCTTCTCAAGGGCATCCCGGTTCATCTGGCCAGCACGCGAGGAACAGGGAGCTCGAAGGAGAGTGGAGAGGGGCCGGAAGGAGGAAGGGGGACCGGTGGGAGCCAGCAGGCCCGCAGGGCATTGGGGCTCCCTCCTCCTCCCTCCTCCTCTCACGTCCAGGAGTCAAGTCCCATAGCGCGTGGCGGGGGTGGGGGGAGTGAGGACGAGCCGCTGTGAACTCTGCCGCGACCTTCAGGGCCTCAGCAGGGAAGCACTCTGGAGCGCCAGACACCCTCTCACCTTTGATTTGCGTTTCGTACTCGGCCTGCGGCCCCCGCTCCCGCCTCAGCTTTCCGTGTGCGGCCATGACGGCCAGGTGGCAGCCGTCGAGCCCCGCTGCGCCCACGCGGCCACGAACAGGCCGGGCGCGGGGACCTGGGCCGCTGCGCCCAGCACCCTGTTGGGCTCCGCCCCTCGCAGCCCCGCCCCCAGCGAGGCCCCCGACGAGGCGGGGCCAGACGGCCCTGGCTTGGCATGGCCTCCCCGAGGAGCTGGTGGGGGGCTGTCTCAGAGCGCCCCTCTCAAACCCCACTGCTTCCCGGTCACATTATCCCCTCCCGCTGGGCCAGCCCTTGGGCTACCTGTGCCCACTGCCAACCTGCGCCACCTCAGTCGCCCTCACCAGCTCCAGATCTGAGCCTCCCTAGCCGTCCTTTGCTTCCCCCAGACTCCTAGACCTTGCAACCCCAGCCTTGAGACAGGCCTAAGGAGCCCTGGGAACTGGGGTGGGGCTCGTAGGCTGCTGCTGTGGGGGAGGGAGCAGGGTGAGCCATGCTTCCCCTTCTGCCCTCGCCTGGCAGAGGAACAAGCCTCATTTCCTCATAGGTGGTTAGCACTTCCTGCCGCCGGAAGAGGCTCCTTTGCCTTCTCTCCCCTGTAGCTTGCACCTGCCTGGTCCTGGCCGGGGGTGGGGCACAACACTACACGCAGCCTCTCACACCAAGCTCTCCACCCACCCTGCACTGCTCTCGGGGCCTCCCTATGCAGAGATAGTACATTTCCTTTCAACAGCTTTCCTCCATGCTGCCGGGGAGGCCCGAGACAGGTGGCAGCTGAGCCGGACTAGATAACTGCGGTGGGATGGCAGGCAAAGCATGCAAGTTTCAACAGAAGTGGTCTCAGATACCCCTGAGCTGGCCGCCAGGAGATCTGGCAGGCTGCACAGCACTGTGGCCTCTCATCCTTAGCCATCCCCTCCCTGCCAAAGGAACAAACATTTCCCGGCTGCCTTGTCCTCCCAAGCCCGCTCCCAAGGTCAAGGCCTGGGATATTGCCAGAGCCTCCCTAGTAGACACTGCAACACTTGCAGCAGCTGACGGCAGACGTGCCCTTGCTGGCTTTGAGTCCCAGCTTCCCTCTAATGTACACCTTGGGAGGCGGCAGGTGCTGACTCGAGTGTTCACGTGCATGGGACACCTGACTGTTGCGGGGCATAGCCTGGGCTGTAAAGGGCATCTGGGGAACGGGCTGACACCATTGGGCACCCATCTGAGCTGGCAAGAAATGGCTGCTGAACTGGCATTAACCATTGTTTCCCAAAGTTGTGTCCTCAGTGCTTCTCTGTCTCCTTCAGCTCATGTGGGGAGTTAACCCTGCGTTGCCACATAGCCTTGCCTGAAGACTGACAGGTACTGCTGCTGTCAGCACACAAGTGCGCCAAAAGTCACTGCATCAGCCCCAGGGGAGAAGCAGATCTAGAAGCCCGGGGAAACACAGAACCTGGCGCGATGGCTCACTGACTAATCCTCCCCCCTCAAGCGCCAGGATCCCATATGGGCGCCGGTTATAACCCTGGCTGCTCCACTCCCCATCCAGCTCCCTGCCTGTGGCCTGGGAAAGCAGTGGAGGACGGCCCAGAGCCTTGGGACCCTGTACCCGCGTGGGAGACTCAGAAGAAGCTCCTGGTTCCTGGCTTCAGATTGGCTCAGCTCCAGCCCTTGGGGCTATTTGGGTAGTGCGGCAGTGCATGGGAAGTCTGCCTGTGCTTTCTATAAATCTGCTTTTCCAACAAGAAAAGAATAATAAAGCTGGTAAACGTGAGGAAGAGAGTGCACGTCATCCTGAGGAGTTAGCACAGGGTAGAAGCAGCCCAGCGTTGTTGTAGGAACCAGGAAGAGACGCCATCCCCTCGCTAAGGCCAGGAACAGGTACTTGGAGTGCAGGTTGATGGGCGTCGGGCTATTTATTGTTAGCGCACTGCCACACCGGCACCCACTATCCAAACAGCAGGAGAAGCCCTGTACCCCTCCTGCAAGCTTGCATCCTCCCTGGAAAGCCAACCGCCTTGGCGTGGCGGCGGCGGCCCAGGACTCACAGCGGAGGACGGCGGGCGTGCCGCAGCGCTGGGCAGGCTTGAGGAAAGCGGCCTCTGCAGGGCGCCGTGGGAACCTCCGTCAGCCCCCGCCCTCCCGCGCCGGGGCGCGGCCAGGGCAGCGCGCATGCGCGCCTGCCCTCTGCCGACAGACCAATCGGAGCCTGGGAACGTAGCTTCCCGCGGCCTGCGAAGCGGAAGACTGACGCCAGGCGCGAGGGGCGGGACTGGTCCCTGCCCTGCGAACTACACAAAGGGAAGTGCGCGAAGTGAACCAATGAGCGCCAAGCGTCCTCCGAGCAGCGGCTGTGCACAGGTGCGCCGTAGCGCCCGTCCCGCCCCTGGCCGGAGCCGATCACTCGTCAGGCACCAGTGTAAGTCGGGGTCTAGGAGCGGGACAGCCGTGTGGCCGCTGCTGTGCAAGGGCAGCTAGGGTAGTCAGAGCCCGGGAGGTAGGCAGAGAACCTGGAGCAGGCAGAAGCTGGAGTCTGGGCAAGCCCGGCTATACCACCTGCCTGCACCTCTGCCCTGGTTCAGAAGCCCTGGCGGCGGCGGAGTGCTGCCTTTAGCAACAGTGCCACCTACACAGCATGCCCACAAGAGGAAACTAACTGCACAAGGCGCAGGATGGGCAACAAGCTCCTCCTAGCCGAGTGGCTTGTCTGCCAATCTAACTACATTAGGGGTCCAGATGAGGGCTCAGGCTCAAGACGGAAGGCAGGGCAGCAATGTCAGAGGCTGCCTGCCAGTTGTGTGCCTCTGGCAGGTGCCAGCCTCAGCTAGCTGAGCACAGCCAGCACATTCCCAGCAAGAGCAGGGTTGGGAGCAGGCTGCAAACCAGCACAGCCAGTATTCCCAGCCTCCTTGCCTGGGCCAAGGCCATTGCACTAGGCAGTCACACTGGCACAGTCCTGCCACTTCTGCCATCCTAGTTGGGCCCAGCGACCTGCTCACAGGCACTGGAGGGGATCATGAGCCCCCAAACATGCTCACACCCATCACGTGTTCTCTCAGGCACACACACACACACACACACACACACACACACAGATTCCCCAAGAGCACGGGCTGAGGTTTATTGGGAGGGCTCGTGGGGTGAGGCCAGGCAGCCAGCGGGCCTAGGAAGCAGAGTCGGAGGCCTCGGAGCTGTCCCTGACGTCCGTGCTCTCTGTGGCCTCACTGGCTTCGCTGAGCTCCTTGCTGTCCCCGCCACTGTCGTCAGCAGGCAAGCCCTTCTCCTCGGTGCAGGCCTCGCCAGGAGCAGCGAGCGCGCTGCCTTTGTTCTCCACCTTGTTCTCAATGGCCCCCAGCACCACGTGCCTGCCTTTCTCCTTCAGCTCCAGGTGTCTCCGCAGCTGCCAGGCAAAGCACAGGGCAGGAGAGAGAAGGCCTTAGCTCCGGGCAGTGGAGGAACAAAGCCAGCCTGGCCCCACGGAAAGAACCAGACCTGGAATGGCACGTAGCCCCTGGCTAGGCTCTGCCTCTCCAACAGACACATGACACCAAGCAAGGTCCCAAGGAGGAGTCACCATCAGGACAGAGTCAGTGTTCCACACTTAGGTGGTCCCGCCTCCCGTCCTGCACACTTGACAATGTGGCGAACGGCTGAAGTATGGCCAGGACTTGCAGCAACAGACACGGGGCAGAAACCCAAAGCTGCTCTTCACCCAGCCACTTCCCCAGCGGCCTGGCTCACCTCCTCGGCCATGTGGGTGAGGTCTCGCTTCATGGCGTAGGCATCTTCCCCGTCTGCGTAGTACTTGGGCTCTACCTCACTGATCCTGTGGGGCGGGTGGGGGGCAGAGCAGCTGCAAACCCCCGGCTGAGTTCCTGCCCTGTGGATGTTACCGTGCCCAAGGGGCCTCCAGAAAGAAGCCAGGCCAGGGCAGTGCAGCCGGGTCACCCACAGCAGCACCTCCCTTTGCCTCCCCTGCCTGCCACAGCCAGCTCGGGCGCCGCGTCCGGGAGTGCTCACCTCCCCTGGGCGGCCGGGCTGCCGGCAGGTGCACTACTTACTGGAAGTTGAGGGTGTTGGAGTAGAGGTGCAGGGCAGCACGGTTGCTGTGGGGAATACACGCTGCTCAGAGCACAGCCTGTGTCCCCCTGCCTCTTGGGCACCCAAGCCCAGGACTGCCCCTACGCGGGAGTCCTCCCCACCACACACACCTCTTCCTGACATGCAGGGAGACGTATTTGGCGTTGAAGTTCTCGATCATGGCTCGTGATGCCTGGTCCATAAGCTTCTGGGCCAGGCCGAGGCGCCGGTGGGAGCGTTTCACAGCCTGATGGGCCAAGGAGAGCAGGGCATGGAACCAAGCAGCCATTCCCACTAACCCCAAAGCCTGGGCGATCAGGGGCACTACGCACCAGCGAGGTGATATGTCCGTGCGGCACGTCGTCTGGGTCCTCTTCCCTGCGGAGAGAGGGGATCGGCTGGAGAGCAGGCTGCTGCTCCACAGCTCTCCCCGCACCACGCACTCCTTGGGGAGGGCTGGTCCCCAGTGCCTCCGGACCTAGACAGGCTGCGGTGCTCCCCTACTGCCTGCCACCACCAAGGACCACAGCCTCCACCTGACATGCAGTGTCCTCAGGCAGCCCGGGATGCACTTTGCTTTTAGAGGGGTGGCCTGGGGGCGGGGTGCACTTGGAAAAACTTCCCAGCACGAACCCCAGTCAGTGAAAGGGCACAGTTACTAATTTTGTATGTCAGGGGTTCACTTGTAAGTAGAGGAGCCCAAGAAACAATTGCACAGGCCAGGAAGCAGGGAGAGAAGTTGTGCCTGGCCTGCCTCCTGCAGCTGGGCACTTGCAATTGTACTGAGAGGAGAAAGCGTTGCCTACAGCCACAAGAGCAGGTGCCAACCCGCGCAGAGCAGCCCCTCTTCCCCACAAGCAGCCCTCTTCTGCCTTCCGGCTCTGTGACTTACATTTTGGCCAGAACATACCCCACAATCTTCCCATTCTCGTCCTCAGCAATATAAGAGAGCTGGGAAAGCAGAGAAAAAGGAGGTCACGACCCCACGCCAGGCGCCCAGCCCCGCCAGCCCGCCAGCTCCGGGCCTCCAGGTGGCCAGGCGGCCAGCAGGGGCCGAGCCTGGGGAGGCAGCCGCCGCCCGGCGCTCCGTGGCGCTCGCGCACCTGCGGCCAGGACAGGCCGTGGTAGAAGTAGTACTTCATCTGGTAGTTCTCGGGCAGGCAGAGCAGGTTGCAGTGCTGCATGTTCATCAGGTCCTCCGGCTGCAAGGCAAAAGAGCGCTCGGTCCCGGTGCGAGAGCCGCCGGCGCGGGAGCCTGCTCCCCGACAGCCCACCGCCTGTCCCCCACCTCCTCCCGTCGGGGCTGGGCAGGCACGTTAAGCCCCGCACCCTGCACAACGCCCGGCCCAGGGCCGCCGTGCAAATCCAGCATGGAGCGGAAGCGTCCGGAGGCACCCGGAAACTAGGCAGCAGAGTCCCGACAGCACCCAAGAGGGGTCCTCGCCTCCTGCACCGCCCCCGCCTTCAGCGGACTCCCCTTCGGGCTGCTTCGCTCTCACACCTCCGCCGGGGCCCCCCGGGAGCATGCGCACGCGGCCACCGGCGCCCACGCGGCGCGGACAGCTGTGCAGCACGGCCCCTCACCCTCGCATTGCGGATGTTCATAACGGCGGAAAGGCTCTCACGTCCAAGCGGGTCAAAAAGGCGCAGTCAGTCGCCACCGCGCTCCGAATCGACGGCGGGCCTGTCGCGGGCTGCCGGGACCAAGGTCGGGGCCGCGGTTGGGAGTCGAGTCGGGCTCTCGGGGGTGGCGGCGGAAGAGGCGACGCGCGCTGGCCCCGCCACCGGCCGGAAGTGCGCAGCCGCCGGACCCTCCCTCCTGGGCGCTCGGCCAATGCGCGAGGTGCCCCAGCGCGGGGTGGGCCTGCGCGTGGGGCGGGCCCGCGCGCGCCGAGAGCCAATACGCGGATCTGGTCAGCGTGCGGGGCGGGCCTGGGCGCCGCCGGAGCGAGGGCGCTAGGGATCGGGAATTGCCTTTCCCGCAGCCTGGCGCGGCCGGGCCGGCGCCCCACAACCCCGGAGCCCACAGAGGCGCGTAGACCAGCGGGTGGGGCAGGCTCAGTTTTATTGCGCTCCTTGGCGGCCAGGGACCGCGGGCGTGGGGAGGGCATCGGCTGCGGTGCGGCTCAGCAGGGCCTCCAGCATCTCCTCGCACAGGGCTAGGCACCGCGGCACATGGAAGCAGCCTGTATGGAGGAGGGTGGACGGATGGGGAGCACCGAGGGCGAAGCGTGTGCCGCGAGCCCCTACGGCCCGCTCAGCCCCTCACTCACCTTTGAAAGGCCCGCCCTTGATAGTAAGAGCTACCTTTCCCTCTTGGTTCAGGTAGCCAAACCATTCTCCGTACTGGGGATCACGAAACTGGAATAAAGATGGTGAGAGCGAACGGCCCTAGCACCGGCCCAGGGTGCATGGGGCGCTCAGCAGACCCATCGCAGCACGTCGGAATTGGTGCTCTGAACCTGCACACTGTGTGACATGGACTGAAAAGATTCCTTCCCGGGAAGATGGGGATATGCTACAACTGCGCTGCGTGGACGGTGACACAGCGGTATACACTGCACTGAATTCGCCTGAGTGTAAGTATTCTACGTTGCAAGTCACGCCGAGAGAAACAAGGAACCCTGCTGGCGAGCCCCTGCAGGCCTGTGAAGGGCAGGGCTCATTCCACACCTCCAGGAGGGCTGACCGTTATCCTTCACTAAACACATCTGGTCTTTGCTCCGCCCCTGCCTGATACCCCACTGTCCTGCTGCCCTGGGGACCACATCAGAGTGCCAGTCCAATTGAATCTGCTGCTCCAGGCCCTGGCAAGGTAGCAAAAGATGACCTAAGTCCTTGGGTCCCTGCCATCCTTGCAGGAAGTTGGGATGCAGTTCCCAAGTTCCCAGCTTCAGCCTAGGCCAGACCTGGCTGCTGAGGAACCAGCTGTGCTTTACAAATAAATGAAGAAATCAACTGTTAAAAAATGTATTCCCAGGCCTGGCGGCGTGACCTAGCTAAAGTCCTCACCTTGAACCCACCGGGATTCCATATGGGCACTGGTTCTAATCCCGGCAGCTCCACTTCCCATCCAGCTCCCTGCTTGTGACCTGGGAAAGCAGTGGAGGACGGCCCAAGGCTTTGGGACCCTGCACCCGTGTGGGAGACCCGGAAGAAGTTCCTGGCTCCTGGCTTCAGATTGGCATAGCATCAGCTGTTGTGCTCACTTGGGAGTGAATCATCAGATGGAAGATCTTCCTCTCTGTCTTTCCTCCTCTCTGTATATCTGACTTTGCAATAAATAAATAAATCTTTTTTTAAAAAAATGTATTCCCTCCCATTGCATTTTGCAGAGTCAGACCAACAGGGCTCCAGGTACAAAAGCTGCTGGGAAGCAGGGACAAGCGTGTGTGCTGCTTGGAGATGACAGGGTACACAAGACAGCACACCAAGAAATCTGGGAACCCTTTGGGGTGGCCATGAAGCCACAGGGTACTGATTCTTTGCTCACAGTCCTCACGGAAGATGGCATGTCCCTGCTGGCTTCCCAGGTCGTGCCCCGCAAAACACACTCCTTCCCAGCATCCGCCCAGGCTCAGTGAGCTCCCAACACGGGCCTCAGCAAGGGCACCCCAAGCTTGCTCTCTCCCCTCTCTCATAACTGTCTCTTGCCTCCTCCTTTGCTGTCCTCCCTCCTCCTGAACTTCATTTCTGCCCACCAAACTTCCTCCTAGCTGTGTGGCCCAGATGGCTCCCACTGACACCTGTGGCCCTGGCAGCTTCGGCCCCTTCTGTTGCCCATGCTGACTCCCCTCCACTCTTTTCCCCTGCCACTCAGCTTCGCTGCCACGGCTGCCAGGCCTCCAGCAGCCTCCTCTGTGCACTCAGAGGCTCAGGTGGGTGAGAGCCCCCCTAGCAGCAAACTATCTTCTGTCCAGTTATCTTCCTCAGTCCTATCCATGCTTGTTTACATCTGCCACAGCGTCCCCTCCCCAGCAGCTTTTTATTAACTAAACAGACTCCACTGGGGGGCCCTGGGAGTTCTGAGACCAGCACCTGCCCCTCCTCCCTCACCCACTGGGAGGCGGCACCGACCTGGCGGAAGGTGTACTCTGCCACCTGGCAAAAGATGCGCAGCAAGGCAGGGTCACCGCTGTCCCTGTAGCCCATAAGGAAGGCAATCATAGCTTCACTGTGTGGCCACCAGAGCTTCATGGACCACTCCAGCTGAGAAGGCAATATGCATAGGCACCTAAGAACCTCAGCAAGCCACTTCCTGCAACTTCCCAGCCCCTGGGGTATGTCCTTGTACCTGCGTGGGGCACAGGTGGTCAGCATCCTGGAAATAGAAGAGTCCTCCATGTTCGGGGTCCCACCCGGAGTGGAAGGGCAGCAAAAGGAACTTGTCGATCACATAGGCTCGAAGGTTGGGGTCCCCTTTCCTGGCAGCATGACACAGCAGAAACCAGCCTGCCTCCAGTGCGTGGCCTGGTGGCAGATGGGGCTCGGGAGTGGGCTACCTGAGCCTGCTTCTTCGGCACACACAGTCCAAGCCTCAGGGCTCCACTCCAGCTCCCCGGACCACTCTGACACTCACCTGGGTTCTGGTGTCTGCCCAGGCAACCCTGAAGTTCCTTGCCATCCTCCGACACGTGCTCCAGCACAGCCTGCCCATCCCTCTGCAGGCAGACAGCAGAAGGTACTCCTGCTAGAGCCCTTCGCCACCAGCCAGAATAATCCATCCTCTGCCCAGAGGCCTCCTGCCATCCATCCATCCGTCTGTTGGAGCAAGCCAGGAGGCTTTCCAGCTCCCAGAATTCCCCTTGCGGTTCTGGCAGCCTCCCTCACTGCAGCCCAGGGCCCCAGCACTGCCAGCTCTCTGGGCCTGCCTGTACCCTGCTTGTGCTGCCTGGGGCCCTGCAGCTTCCCTAGGGGGCCAGCCTCTGCCCATGCCTGCCTGATAGCAGGGCACCCTTGGAGAGTGAACACCGCTCTCGCACTCACCTGGACGTGCTGCAGGATCCTGTGGGCGCACCAGTCCCCCACCTCTGCATATCTCCCTGCCATCTCCTCATCCGCCTCCCCGAGCTGCTCCACCAGGCTGAGCACCATCATGGGCACTGCCATGGACTCCGCCGCTGGCGTCCCTGGGAGCTGGGGCCGGCCCGGCCCGGATGGGTCCTCCCGCACCCAGTGGACAATCTGATCCATCATCTGCACAGCCTCACTCTGCAGGGGGCAGGGGAGGGCGAGGGGTGTCCTGGCTGAGGGTGGGTTCCCAAGGGCTCGGTCCGGGGTGCCCTGTGCTGTGCTCCAAGGACTCCTTGATGCAGGGGCCGGCTCTGGGCCTGGCTCCACTGGTTGGAGGTGCAGGCAGCCCCTGGACAGTGAGGTTGGGCTCTGACAGCACAAGGAGGAGGGGCAGGGCATGGAGGGGCTGCTGCCCACAGCCGCCGTGTGGGTTTTTCCAGAGGTAAAGAAAAGTTAGATGGGAGAGGGAAGGTGAGGAATGCAGGACTAGGGCAGGGGACCTGCATTCCAGGTGGTAACGGCAGTGCAGGCAGTGCAGGCAGAGCCCCAGGGTGACCCTGAGCCTGTCAACCGCACCTGGTAGCGTGCTTCGCCTGTCACCCTCCAGAGCTCGTTCATGGCCATAGTGTAGAAACACTCGCTGAAGATGGTCCGCTGCACCTTGACCGGGCGGCCATCTCGAGTGAGCACAAAGGCACACTTCTTGGCAGGAGGCGCCACCCGAGCATAATGCAGCAGAAACTCACCACCTGGGGGTTGGGAGGTAGGGTGCTGGGAACCCGGCAGGCCATCAGCCACTGCCCCGGCCCCCCTGGCCTCCCAAAGCACACATGGCTTTTCTACTTTCCCGGCTCCTGGATACACGAAAGAAGCCCTAAGGAAGGCAGCAAAGGAAGGTGGCACCTGCTTTGGCAGAGTCCAGAAGTGAGGAGCAGCGGAAGCGCTCGAACTTGCGGTATAGGTGACAATACATCCACACCTGCGGGGTCAATGGAAAAGGATTTGGGTGTTGGTGCCGTGGCTGGGGTGAGGGTAGGGGCTTCGGGCTGGGAATGTGTACTGAGGCAGGCATACCCTTACCTGTCTGCCCTGCAGCCACACGTACTTGAGGTCATCGTACACCTGCCCATCACGCCCAAGGCATGTGAAGAAGCCCCTGTGCGATGGGACACACATTGTGAAGGGGCTTGGCCTACTTCCCCCTCACACCCAGGGGACCTACAGATTTGAGAGTCCCTTGGGGGTGGCAGGGTTAGGCCACAGCGCACCCGTACTCGCGGTCATGCGAGTGCTGCATCCAGAAGGCCACCACGCGGTCCAGCTCTTGCCCCACACGCTCCTTCCACGCCTGCAGAACGCCCCGCTCCTCCTCCATGTCCTGCTGGGAACTCGTGTGGCTTCACAAAGGCCCCAGAGCCACTGCTTTCCAGCACTCTGAGGGATGGCTCCACTCCCTATTCCCCCACCCCCGCCCCTCAGTGTCCCTGGGGACACTCCAGGACAGTACCTCCTTGCCATAGGCCCCACCACCTGCCTGTTGCACTTGGAGACCCCTGCTCATCCCTCCCTGTCTTCCAGCAAGCCAAACCGAACTGGCTGCAGCCCCGTGACTGCTACTCAGCTGACCAAGTAACGCCCCACCCACCCCCTGCTTCTCAGAGTTGCGCAGGGCTCAGGGGCGGAGCTTGGAGGCTCTGTCCCGCACAGCCCAGCCAAGACCCTCCAGCAGCCAAATCCTCCTTGGGCACACGATGGCGTTTATGAGACACCCTCAGCTCCACACTGCCAGGGGAGCAGGTCAGGACAGTCTGGGACCCTGGGGGTGGTACAGAGGGTGGTCTGGGCCTGGGCAAGGCTGTGGCAGCGGGGGTGGGCGGAGACAAAGGACAGGAAACCACTGGAAGCACCGGAATCGGCAGGCCCTCCTGATCTGTGACCTCACAAGGAAGGCTGATAAACTCTGATGAATTTGAGTAAGCCCAGGGAGACCACTGGAACCAGCTTGCCCACGCAGGGCTGGCAATGCCTTTGGGAAGGCTGGGTGTTTGCCATACAGGTGTCTGCTCTGGTTTTTTGCCAAGCTGTGTTTTTTTTTCCTGTGAATTTATTTTTTTGGAAAGGAAGAGTCAGAACGATCTTCCGTCCACTGGTTCTCTCCCAAAATGGCCAGAGCTGAGCCACTCTGAACCCAGGAGCGTCTCCAAGGTCTCCCACGCGGGTGCAGGGTCCCAAGGCTTTGGGCCGTCCTCCACTGCTTTCCCAGGTCATAAGCAGGGAGCTGGATGGGAAGTGGAGCAGCTGGCACACAAACTGGCCCTCCTATATGATCCCAATGCTTGCATGGGGAGGATTAACTAATTGAGCCATTGTATCAGGCCCCAAACCATGCTTCTGTGTGCTGTCCTCCCATCAGCCCCGGTCCATGCATCCCGAGCTCTGCCAGGTATTAGTGTGGCCCACACGCTGCCCTGAGGAAGGGAGGCCAGTGGCTGGCAGGCCAATGAGAGCAATAGTGTGCTTTAACACACTTTACCCACTCCCCTACCGGCATTCTGGGCCAGGCCTACAGGGACCCTCCGAGCTCCTGCTCTGCCAGGAAGCAAGCCATAGCTCTTGCAGTTGAGGTGGGCAAGCAAGCCAGGGGGTGGGGTGTGTGGTGCCGACCCCACAACAAAGCTGCAGGGCTCCAGAGCCCCATGAAGTATTGTCTGGACAGGCCGGCCAGCCCCAGGCCTCTGCCTATCTGCAGGTGGTGAGGGCACACCAGGCGGCCAGTAGGTGTAGAGTGGGCCTGCACTCAGAAAGGACAGGCAAGAGGTGTCTTGGAGACACCACCGGGCTCCTCAGGTAGGCCTCTCGACTTTCCCTCCGCAGCGGCGTTCTCCCACGTAACAGGAGCTGTACTCTGAACACCATCATCCTGCTGCCTTCTACCACGGCTTTCCTGCAGGAACAGGCCAAGTCGGCACCCCCGACACCCACAGGGCCGTTCTGCTCCTAAGCTCGCTGGAGATCTGCCTAGTCCTTTCTGCCCTGGTCCAGTCCTGATGGGGCAAGTTAGCACAAGTGGCCCAACTGGCAAATGAACACACACCAGGCCTGCCCTGCAAGGCAGCGGAGGCTGGATCCATAGGCCATGGCAGCAGGCCTCTGCTGCGTGGGTTCCCATTCATGAGAGTCCCCAACACAGTGAGACACCAGATGGTTATTCAAAAAGTCTTTTAATTGTTCAAAATAGCACAAAACGACATCGCACTATGGTAAATATTGAGTCACAGGGGTTACTCTACAATAGATGAACAAGGTACTGGTCTCAGAAACAAGAGAGAAATCAAAGGGCGCTCGGAAGAAGGGTTGGGGATAAAACAACGGGACCAGGCAAGTGGGCTCCAAGGTGACTAAACGTGACATCTTCCACAGCGAAATATACTATAATACAACAAACCAGAGGCCCCAGAGTGGGCAGGGCACAGGTGGGGGAGGCCACCCCCTGCCACACCACCAGAGATGGGGGAGGGGACTGAAAACATTGGCTGCTCATTTGAACTCCTTCTGCGGCCTGTTGTACAAAGCCTTGCCTGTTACCTAAAGCGCAGACAGAAAATGGGCCCTAAGCCCCAAACTGAGGACAGCCCAAGGCTGGAGAGAAGGTCTGGCTGGGGGCAAAGAACCAATTAATGGAGCTGGTAGTAGGTGCTGTTAGTCTACTCACATGCTCCAGGCCCTGGGTTTGGCTTCCCAAAGCAGCCCTTCAGGGCACCTGTGTGGGCTGGCTAAGGAGCAGAGATGAGGCTAGGCCTGGCTCAGCTCATCAGGGGCGGAGTGCTCACCCAGAGCGAGCAAAGGGAAGAGGGCCAGGTAGGCAACAGGCGATCAGGAAGGGCAGTGCCTGCTGGTAGGCCCCATATGGGGCTTCCATACCTTCCTGCCCCAGCTGCCCTTGCTTTTCCTCTAAAAAGATCCCTTCCAAGGAGAGGAAAAGAAAGCAAAAAAAGAAAAAAAAAAAAAAAAAAAAGAGCAGGGGAGGAAGAAAAAAAAAAAAAGCTGATACACATCCTGTACACAACTAACAACAACAACAAAAGGGACAAAACCCCACACGCTAAGGCTCAAATTACAATAAAAATGTTAACTTCATCCATTTCAACTTAAAAAAATACAACAATGCAGCAGTTTGTGATGCACCCCCAGCTTCAGAGCCAGGCTTGGTGGGAGCCAAATGGTGCCCCATCAGAGGCCTTCCTGGCTGCCCACACCCCCTCACCTGTCCTCCTTTCTAGTCCTTGCTTAAAGGGGCAGGGGAGAACAGGTGAGAGCACACAGGCCTTGGGGAAAGCGTGTGAAGCAGCTGGGCCCGGGGAAGGGATGGGGGAGGCTGGGAAGATAAGGGCCATGAGACCCGCAAAGCACACGGCCACCTGGGCCAGGGCACGGGGAAAGCCTCCTGAGTGCCCTGCTCCCCACACAGTCCTCAGCTCCCCCCTCCAAGCCAACAGAGAGAAACCACGAAATGGGCACAGGCTTTGAAGTGCGAGCATTTTCTGTCCCTCTAACTTTGCATTTCTCTCCCTCGGTGGTCTCTGAATTCTGCAGTCTAGCATGGTGGTGAGGCCAACATCAGGGGGAGGGGGAAGCAGACGTCTCACTTGCTTGCTGCTCTTTCTAATCTGTCTTGTTGCTTCCTCCCAACAGCCAAGGTCAAATGTGCTTGCTTTATTTTAAAAACACAGAGAGAGAACAGAGGCCAGTGGCTCGTGAGGGTATCTGTGCACCCTGGGGCAGGATGGGAGGTGGGGATGGGCCCCGGGCGAGGAGGTGGTTCCTGAAGCGGGAGGGGGGCTGGAGGAGAATGCAGGTGCTGGTCAGCTTCCTCCTACTGACCGTCTGCCTTAGATTTCTTTGGAGCAGATTTCCTTGAGGATGGAAAAAGGAGAGAGTTAGCGCGGGTCTGTGTGGCACTGCATTGAGCATCAAAGGGGGCAAGCAGGCTGGGGTGCGGATCTGGGGGTGGGGACACACGGCATTGGTCTGTGTAAGCTCCCCCAGATCATCCCAACTGGAGAAGGTTCTGTAAAGGCATTCTTTTGCTTACATTTCTGGAGAGGACATGGGCCGCTTGCTGGCTGGCTTGCTGCCAGAACCATCTTTATTCGTTTCTGAAACACAGAGGGACCGGCACACAGCATGAGCAGTGGGGCGACTATAGTTGTGTCCCCGCCCCCCTCCCCAATACACAGATCGCAGTGTCTCTTTTCAAGCTGGCCCTGGGCCCTGTTAGAAACCCTCTCAGCTTAGCTCCTACCTACCCCCTCCCGTTTCCCGTTTTTGCTTGGTTACAGGGAGCTGGGGTTCCCTGGCTCGACCTGCCAGCCTCCTCTGGACATGCAGTTCCCTCCCCACTTGTCAGCTGTTCCTGCCTCCCTCAGTGTGGCACAAGGATCTGCAGCCAATGACAGGCCAGGATGGTCAGCAGGGGGAGCTGCCTATGGGAGTACTGCACCTTCTCTCTGAGTGGCCCAGGCAGCCCTAGGAAGCAGCTCACCTTGCAACCACCTCACTTGAGTCGCTGGGCCGTAGCCCTTCTCGTTGCGGGCTGCAATGCGGAAGATGATGGCGGGCTTCGTGGTATAGTCAATGTGGGCATTGGAGAGGCTGGAGGACTGCACGAGGCAGGAAGGGCTGGGCCCGCAGTACACCCGCATGAAAGCCAGCTGCGCCGGGGCCGAGCTCTTGGCCTCGCTGCCGGCCTGTGAGCTCTGGATGGCCAGGTACACCGAGTACTCTATGATCTTGCCGGAGGTCACAGAAGGCGGCTCCCACGTGAGGTGAGCACCATCTGGACTCTAGAACAAGGAAGCACAGGGTCAAGGCTTGCCTCCTGCATCTGTAGCCCTGGCCCAACTGCCTGTCTCTGGAGCACCAGAGCAGGTAGAATCTTCGGGAACAGACATCTCACATGTCACACAAGCCATTTTTTTCAATAACACCAGGGAAACATTTGACATAAAGACCTTTATAAAGAGATCTGCCCTTAAGTGGAAGCAATAAAATGAACTGAATTCCAAACACAGCCTCAGACTATAGATCTGGTGTAGTGCTTCAGACACCAACTGGCACTCTCACATCCCACGTGGCAGAACCTGTGTCCAAGTCGTAAGACTGGCTGATTTCTGACTCCAGCTAGCTACTAATGTGTCCCTGGGAGGCAGCAGCTAAGGACTCGAATACAGCTGCCTTCCTGTCACCCATGGCGGACACTTGGAGTTCTGGCTTTTTGCCCTGGCCCAGCTCTAGCTGTTGTGCACATCCGGGGAATAAGCCAGCAGATTTCTCTCTCTATACCTTCCTTGGCCTCTCAAAGGAAATGGAAACAATACCTCATATCCTTCCCACACTCACTCTGCTAGGAGTGACTAAGCCGCTCAAGGCCTCACTGTCCACATCTGGAGACCAGCGCGCATACCCCTGAGATTTCTTCAGGATGAAATGCAATGGAGGCACAAGGCATTGTGCGCCCTAGTGCCTTGGCCCACAAGCTTGGGGCCCCTCCTGAGCCAAGCTGCCCTAGCACAAACAAGGAACACCTCATGGCAGAGGCTACAGGTG